GGTTTCATTTGCATAAGCGCGAAATACGTCGGCTTCCGCCGCGCGTCGACCGTTATGTAACCATGGCATCAGCTACGCACCGCACACCCATAAGGTGCGAAACGATCCGCGACTTAAACCAATGTTCAGGAGGTTGAAACGTGCATGGCGTTTTCTACGTGGACGCAATGAGTCAGTTCAGATATGTGAAAAGTTTGCGTCTAAGAATAGGGTACCCAATGGGTACTCCAAGCTTTGTGATAGCGTTTGTCGCAGCTTGGTTAGACCCGTTAAATGACGGAAATAGGCTGTTGCAAAGATAGCATTCGTTGCGTACGTACACACTATTTGCGTCAGTTAACCTGCGTTCCAAAGATAGTGTACGACGCATGCGCAGTAGCGACCGACGCTAACGCAAAGTTTTGGGTAAATTTCCTAATCGTGAACACACACACACAAATAAAAACGTACATATAGCTTACGGATTTGTGCCTCGTAGTACGTATTGGTGTAAAATGGAAAGCTATCGCGACTTTGAAGTCGCGACGGTTTCAGTTAGTTTCGGTTCACGCGCGCACATCGTGCGTTGAAGGGTGCTTTTTTTTTTTGTTCTACCTTGGTTTACAATGACACGGGAATCATTTTAGGCTCACAAACCACTAAAATACGTGTTGATAATGCGTGATAACGGAGTTCAATAAGTCAAGGGTAATGCGCGCAATCGCAGACAGCAAGCGCGTATCGGTCATGGCTGTTTTAGTTTTGTTTCCATTACCGATAAACCGACATAATCGCGTAGACTGCGCGCTACCTTTGAGCGTTTTTGAGCTAAATTGTACATCGCGATCTTTCACTAGAACGCGTTAAAACATTATTTAAGAAAAACCCGACCGTATATCGTGAGATTTACAACAAAGAGAGAGAAATCGCGCCTTACAATCGTGTTGCAGCGGGCAACCGCAACTCTCGCGTTTATTTTAACATCCCGACCAGGGCCGAAGATTGTGGACACAGTCTGGCCGAGTTCCGCATCAGAAATACATGCCTAATTTTAGAAGCCGGCCTCCGGCGCCGGAGTCAGCGCTAGCCCACGCGCTTTCTGCTCCCAGACTTTTCTTCGTCCGATGTGCACCATCGGCGCACATTTTTCACCGATTGCCGCAAAACGAAATGACCTTCTAAGAAATTCGCATATCGAAGACGTCGTCTACTAAACCAGCTACTCGATTTTCGCTATTCACTACATTGTCACTATCGCACTTACTTGCGCGAACGGCGAAGACGAAGGCTTTTTTTTTGTTCCTCGGAGCAGCGCAACGCACAACTTGGGAACTCAGGGACGTATCCAAAACAGACGGCCGTAATCCACGTTGCCCTTCATTCGAGCGACAGGTTAATCCAGAGTACGGGGCAATCACAATCACACACGCTGAGTCTCCGTAGTTACGCCAGCAGCACTCTGCGCACGGTTCACGAGACCAAGCACCACAAAGACGCAGCCGCACGCTCTGAATGCTACTCCGTCTCTCGCTGGAAAAAGCGACCGTGGCGGAAAAGCTCTCTCTCGGGGAGAGAGCGGCGAGATCGTAGGTCGGGGAAAGAAAGCGCTGCTTTAGTTCGGCCGTGGCCCGCCAGGGAAAATCGCGCACGGCGGGAAAGCCGAAACTAGGGCGACCAGTCGGACAACATGGTCACGCCAGCTGCGCCGCGACATATCTAAGGAATTTATTGAGCCCGCTCGTTTGCTATCTGTGCGAGTTGTGCTATTGCGCGAAATAACGTACGGACCAGTTCCGCCTGTGGCATGTGTCACTTTGTTTTGAAACACGGCCGACGAAAGTGTACCGAAAAGGGAGAGTACCAGCTGTGAGGAGTCAAAAACTAATAGACTTGTGATTAGTGTTTTTATCGCCGCTTTACATTGTCTGCGATAACGTATTTTCCACTTTCCATTGTGCAGGGAAGTTGCGGAACTCTACGGTTAGGCATGTATATTTGGCCAGTGACAATCAAAGCGATATGATCACAGTGATATGATGCTATAATTGACGCTTGTTAAAAATCTTAAGTGCCCATATTGTCGAATTGAATATTTGGAATCCAATTGAAGTTCAAAGTATAATTAGGTGCAGAAATTAGCTTATTATTCGGCCCTAATTCGATCATTCAAACATTTTAGCTCTAGATGCGAGTCAAGTTAGGTACGAGCTGGTTTGACAATTAAATAGCTAACATTCAATAATATGTTCTAGCATTTTAAAATCTTACGTGATCGGCTCGAGTAAGTTGAAGGTAACTAAAATCGTAAACTTCGCTTTTTGTATGTCCGACACGCATGAACTGTTGAACAATTTATTGTAATAAAGTATTGGTACCGCGATAAGCTACCATATACTGGCAATAGGCAGGCAGTGATCGTGTCGATAATCGTATGAACTTGATGTGAGGTCACATCGACTGTGTAAATCGCATTCTTGGACAAAATCCTTACCGATTTGCAAAAAGTACTCTATTCAAATGCGGAGTTTACGTCGATTGCAATGAAATTAAAGATAGTTTCCAACGATGGTTGCTTTCCGACACTTTTTCACCGTCATTCTCGTTTTCCCCGCTTGGGTCAAGTTCATGTGCTCTTCCAGAATAAATTAGTGCTTCGAGTCATGTTTCTTACATTTTGCATATTACATTATGTCGATGTAAAATCTGTATGTAAAGAGTTTTTAACGCTTCAACAACCAACCTATGACTGCGATAAGCTCAATTAAGCTGTAAATCATTGTTAGTGATTGCGTTTAGAAGAAATAAAATAATTTTGCTGTTAATATTAATGTTCCTTGGATCTGTAGGACAGCTATAATTTTTTGGTATTATAGCCCACCTCCTTCGATCTTGCAGTACCATATTTTCTAAGGCTTATTGGTAGGTTAAATTTTAAAAAGAAAAGGGAAAAAAGGAGCACGCCTATTTCGACAACAGTATAATTTAGACAAAATTGCTGTACTGCACACCTGTCATTACGCGCGATGGAAGCACTATGAATAGCCTTTCTATTTGTATGCCGGGCGGAGATACTGACTACCCCTTTCTGACGCCAAATAACATCACAACATTCATTTAACAACATTGATTCAACGTTCGTTTAACAACACTCACTCCATGAATAACGAAAGAATGGATGAAATACATCTCTATAGGCCACATGTTAGCGCGAAAGGTGACGTGGAAATTCCCTTTATATGAAAGGCATAACTGTGATCAAAGAAAAGCAAGATCACGAGAACACTAAATTGGGTGCAAGAGCAGGCGCATGTCTTATGGTGCACCATGCACGCTGCAGTGGGCTTCGAACGCTTGTTCGAGACGTGTTTGCAATGGTTTTCCTTTAGACGACCCGAGATGGGGAGTGCCTTCTTTTTGGTCTGTGGTATAGGGTAGTACAAAGGCTGACACGTGCTGACGTCATATGCCGGCACACGAGGGGCCTTCGCTGCAAAGATGTAGTAAACATCTTCACCGCAGAGAAAAAAACGCGCCGCCATGCTGTGCTGCGCACGGGAGTACAAAGGCTGACGTCACAGCCTGGGCAGTGTGTCAGTGAAACTACCTTATTGCGTTCACAACAGGCACCTGGCTGGGCCCACTCGAACACAGTGTCTTTTTTTTTTTTTTTTTTTTGAAAGCGAGGGCGAGGTGGCACTTGCATGTACCACAGCCCAGAGTGGGTTATGGTGGCGCCCGTTGAGCCTTCGTTGAAAAGAGTTATGCAAACACTTCATTATGAGGGGCGGTAGCACAACATGGCTCAAATGTTAATGGGTGACAGCCTATCGCGCTCTTACCTTGTCGCCTGGCGGTGGCCTCTGTAGGTAGTCCTAGAACCAGCGGGCAGCACTTAACAGGTTTGAGCGTGGTCTTGTTGGTGTGTCATGTTTTAAACTAACCGGCTTTATCACACGAGCGTGATAAAACCCAACCTACTTGACATGGGAGGTGCTTCGTTCAACAACTATAGGTGGGAGCACGATAAAACGACACTTACACCGTACGTGAGGGTAGTCGACTCATAAAGGCTATTACTATCGCTCTCAAATGCATCACCATCAAAACACATCTGTTCACGTTCAGGCTCCTACGGGAATCATAATAATAGCTGCACACGCCCACACAGGCATACGAAGCTTGCGATGTTACTGATACACCTCATACGCGCGCTGCTATACCTCCCATTTGCCAGAGCGACCTGCTACGTACCGAGTGCTGTCACAGGTATGTGATCCCACCCCAGCAGTGCACCTCATAGCATGCCACCCTCTCTCCATCCGTTTGTATCTTCTCTTTGATCTCACCCTACAATCGATTGGCAGTGTCCTTGAAATATGAAAGAGGGAAAATTGTTCGAGGGGCTTGTTCAGTAACAGTTGTTGGGTTTTTACGTCCCGAAACCGCTTTGGAATGCCGCAGGAGAGAGCTTCGGAGTGCCCCGCCGCGGTGGTCTAGTGGCTAAGGTACTCGGCTGCTGACCCGCAGGTCGCGGGATCGAATCTCGGCTGCGGTGGCTGCATTTCCGATGGAGGCGGGAATGTTGAAGGCCCGTGTGCTCAGATTTGGGTGCACGTTAAAAAACCCCCGGTGGTCAAAATTTCAGGAGCCCTCCACTGCGACTCTCTCATAATCATATGGTGGTTTTTGGACGTTGAACCCCACATATCAATCAATCGAGAGAGCTTCGAAAATTTTGAAGATGTGGTGTTCTTGAACGTGCACATCGCACAGTTCATATATATCGCACAGTAATTAGTTTTAAATGATAATTATCTCACTGTTAAATTGCATGATTTGAACTCTCAAAGATGTCTGCCGCATCTTATAGTTTACTTGGTATATCAGGCACACATTATCTGATCCAGTGAATGTTTCTTTCGTAAGGCGGGATTTGTACACTATTCGACATCCAAACGCAGCTGACACATCGCGAATATCTCGTTCTATAGATGGAAACGATAAATACGCAAGACCATCGATTGCTGCAAATATTGTATTTTTTTATTCAACTGAGCGATCACACTGCAGTTTTCCGTTCACCGGCGTATACACTCAGCAAGAAATGTTGCAAAAAGGATAACCAAAGTATACAGGAAAAAAGCACAAATATTCTATTATAACTGTGTTCTCTTTGACGGTTGTAGCAGCAGTCGAAAACATTTTACTCGCTAGCTACAGAGCAAAAAACAAGATTCATGACGACGTACCTTTGAACATGTTTTACGTTCGGCGTATTCCAAATAACATACATGACAAACAGAAAGTGTTCCACGATATAGAATTGTATGCAGTTCTTCGGCAAACTAAAATAATTTTAGTTTAACCGCATCTTTGAAGTTCATACCTCGGTATTAGCTACAGCATGTTTATACACATGAAGAAGCACGCTCGCTTTGGTTATATTCAAGAATTCCCATCGTGCGTCGTCGGTAACACTATATATATAACCAGTTAAAAGCTTTATCCGTCTACTCTTCTTTTTTCTGCATGCACAAATTTTCTTACAAAAACAGGGCGATTATATAGTGACAGTTAACATGAACATACCTATAAGCATGCAGCTCATACTATACGGCAAGTTTACGACTTGCTCTAACAGAAAAAAAAAGAAGAAAAAAAATACCTGTGCGTTCAAATAGTGCACTAGCACCCTCTTCCTTTTACCTGTATATTAAGCTCCCAGCTGAGATTTGCTTATGGTGTTAAAGTGAACACCATCAAATGTAGCGGCGAGAAGAGAAGCCACATTAGCTCTTACTCGCGGTTATACAAAGTCTTACTAGGCTAACGCGTTTCGCAAGATGCCGTAGTATTAGTCTGCACCTATTTAAAACTGTTCCTTTCAAGCTTTACTGTGTGACCCGAAGCACCGCACCGACGTCGTGAAGGTTTCAGAGTCACGTTTGTCTTTGTAAGTACATACTCGTTGTTTTAAGAAACGTCACCAGGAATATACTCATAATACGGGCTCTTGGCACGGTAAGAAAGCAACACTTTCAGCGTGGCTAAAGCGCAGCTCACTTTCCGCTTTACTTTCAATATCATTATAGAAAGCAGCGTGTGCGGCTGGAAAATCACACGAATCGCCTGTTTTGTCAAACAAACCTCGTTAACGAACTGGAAAGCGTATTTACAGTCTTTGACCATGCACCGTGGGCACAGCGAACTCGCGGTGCCAGCAAGAGCGAGTCCATACACCATCGCTGCGAGTCCTGATCCCGAGGCGAAATCACGTACACGTTATGTTCGGTTCTCGAACGTTCGCTTGGCCAGCTGATCGACGACGATGACTGACTTCTGAACATAGGCGCGGACCAAGACCGCGAACTAGGACAACTCCTATATAGATGCAAGCAAATGTTCGAAAATGAATCTTGCGCACGCTTGCTTTAGACGCGGCACGATTGGCCTCAAGCGAGCTGTTTGACGACTATGACTAGGGTCTGGCCAAGCGCGCGAGCTATAGGACCGAACGTTCTCAAACGAACCTATTACACGTTCCGTATACGTTCGGTTTTTCAACGCTAGCTTGTAGCCGAATGCCAAACGTATCCCGTGTATAACGTGATTCCGCCCTTGGGCGAGCGGCCTCGGCGAACACACAACGGTTATTATTATTATTATTTCTACGCATTGTACGCAAACAGTATCACACTTTGTACAAGAAATGGTCCACACCAAAAAAGATGACGCATATATAACAAACTATACGGTACACATTGTCAGCGCCACGTCGTATCTATGGCGTGGTCCAACTGCAGCTGCGCCGGTTAAGTATACGCTTTCAACAACAACTCTTCTGCGACAACACGACAAGGCTGCAGTGGTTATACACGGGTTATTTGCGATAACTCAACGTCGCTCGTTGATCATACAGGCAGTCGTCATCGTCGGCTTTGCGTCGCCTTGACAACGACAACTGTCCGTTCGTCCACTCTGACCTGCGCCGAGGGCCACGACGTGAATGGCCATGTCGATACTTGAGCCGAGATCGCACGGGATGTTATCAAGTGGTTATCGTGCGGGGTTCTGTTAGCGCTTATGGCGGCAATGCCGCTCGCCTAGGGCGATGTCACAACACAGCTTCCGCCACAGACATTCTTTGGTCGCGGATGTACATTTCAGTGAAAATAGGATGAGGAAGTTGGTGCAAAACGATCTGTGTCACCTTTCACCTTGACATCGTTAGCTGTAGCCTTTGCAAATAGATGTGCGGTCTATAAAGACGGCCTCCACTCGATCCTCAAAGGTATCGGGTCTCTGCCGCGTGCTGCTGGCTTAATTCCCTGCACCATAACGCGATGCAATTTGCCTGGACATGTGACTCTATATGCGCAATCGCTTTGCTATCGAGCGCCTAAAATGCTGCCCTATATAAGCAGATCAGGAATTCAAAGCTGACCGACTCGCAGTTGCAACAACGTATAGTATATATATATAAAAAATAAGCTGACAAGGAAACTATGCGACCTTTCAGTGTGGTTGAATGCGTGAAACAGAACCAATACCATTGTAAATTCTTGCAGTTAGCATTTAAAGAAAACGCCTGGAGGGGGGGGGGGGGTTGATTTTCAACACTCGGTTATCGACCTTCGTCATATGGACTGAATCTCAGATGCGACAGAGCCATATGCAACGATCACCTTATGCGTTCGTCTATACACATTCATCATTGTGTCGTATTTATGTTTTGCGCCATATGCTAACAACGACTCCAATATTAGTGCACTTGTACAGACACTAAGCAACGCGTGATCTGTAGTCCAGTCTGACCCATCATTCCAGAACATGTAAACCGCGTTGATCCACGTACTGTGCCACAGAGGAGGGTATAGATTTGTGACCGGGGCAGGGGGATGGCTGGATTAACACCTATATTTGTGTTACTATACGATGGCCTAATGCAAACTGGACTTTTGTTTCTCACAAACATAGCGCCAAGGACGTCCTTTCTTGACACTCGTCCGTGAATACGCGTGAAAGAAGGCTAAAACAGCAAGCCAGGGACTCTTAAACGCGTGACGTTGTCTGGGACGCAAACTTATCTGGACGAACGTGACGTAACCTTCTCTTTTTTGGTGCACGGACACAGAAGCACGCGATCCTATGCCGGAAGTATACAATGTCCACGGATTACTTAACTGGTCATGCTGCTTAGCCCTGCACGAAGACGTTCGGTCTCAACGAAAAAAAAAAAGATTAGCACAAGTGAACGGTGGCCGGAGAATTGCGACACGCGGCGATGTTGACGAGCACGACAGCGAGATTGCCAAGCGCATTCCATTTTCCAAAGCAGGGGAGGCCGGTGGACCGGCTCAAAGCAGCTCCTCTTGCTGTTGTCCGCTCGAAAGACCATACCTGGAATAAGCGCTTGTTCATTGATTATCGCCAAATGTGGTTGTGCACACGATACCCTTTTTTGTTTTTTTTCTGAAGCTGAAGTTGGGAGCAACCGTATGTTTATCGCAGTTGCCCAGAAAAGACTGCTCGTCGAAGTGCTTTCCGCCGACCACCCCTGCTTTCGAAAAAATGGAATGTACTAGGAACTCTCGATATCGGCGCGTTCGGAAAAAAACGCAGACTGCCAATCTTGCTGCTGCGACAACCATTCACTTGTGGCAAATCTGTTTCCGTTGGTACTGCACGTTTCGCACATTGTACAGGCACGAATGCTAACTTTTCTTTCTTTTTTTTTTAGCGAGTAAGAGTGGAAAGCCGATATTGTTTTTCTCAGTCACTTTCATGTCATTTCTCTTCCATCGTATATGACAAGTGGGAAAGCGGTGACGAAAGTTTTCAATATCTCCAGTGCCGTCTAATCGACATCAATATGAATCAATCTGCAGCACTTCTAAATCTCACGGTTGTAGCGTGTCTGTGTCATACGTTATGTTCGTGTCTGAAGCTCTGGTGTTATATGGTGTTCAGTTCCGCAAGGGCCACGTTTGGCGCCAGAACTGTAGTCACGTAAATTCCATGGTGTCATATGGTTTATGCAGTGGCTGTCACTGAAGCTGTCACAATGTCAGCGATGCTTTATTAACACTATACAAGTAAAGAGAACGCGTGCAGATCGCTGTAAATAATCGTGTCAAAGTAAATGTAATGGCCGTTATTACATTTTTGTTGATATTGGAGCTTAACTTCGAAATAATAACCAAAGTTGCCGAAGTAAAATTTTCCTTTCCATCGTCTAAGCTGTGATTTCGAGTCGATTTATATGTGTTGGGAAACGGAAATTAGTGTCGGAATTTGTGTTTGCTTTCGAAATGTAGTATTCTCCAAACACTCGTTTTCTACTTGCAAATTTTAGTGTTCGAGCTTCCTTACCTATAGAGCTTTGTTGCAATGTTCATGACTCTGTAATAACACGTGAGCTCCGGTCCGCACTACCTCGCCAACTTTTGCACGATTGCAACACTTTTAAGAAGGAGATGCAAAGCGTACACGCGCACACACACGCATATCCGAGCGCGTGAAACAACTCTATTAGTTTAACTTGATCGTCCTTGTGGCCCGTCTGTAGTAAAGCGTCAGTGTGGGAACCGAAAAGAGGCATCGCTTACACTCGAATGGCCGATCCGCCAGTGGGGCTCTCGAACTTTCTCAGCGTCGTCGAGTCCGTCAGTCAAGGTCCACGTGGTAGCGGATAACGCAGCAGTGGCGTGCAGCTGGCGGGAGCGTGGAAATAAATACACGAGTCGGGCATCGGTGACGTTGGCGGCGGCGACGAGACGAAGGAAGAACGGCTTGATTCTTCGCGGAAGGCGTCACTCAGCAGTTGCAGCGGTACTGCGCCGACGGCGACTGCCTGTTCTGGTTCAGGTCGGCCTTCTCCCACTGCAGCCGGTCGCTGTCTTCGAACTTGCCCGGCTGCGAGGGAGAGAGATGGATGGACGGGATGAGTTCAGTGTCATTCGCCAAGCAAGATGACATAAAAAGGCTCGCGCGACCTGAGGCGTGCTCCCAATGTTCGCACACACATACCTGTGCTCAACGAGACATATCCTGCATTTTTTTAATATTCATGGTTATGGCCACGCAGTAGTTTTTTTTTTTTTTTTTGACGGTACGGGCGGCCGAACACCCTCGAGTACGTTTCACTTCAAGAGCTGCTGACATCCAATCTCTACCCTCGAAAAACTGGGTGCCTAAGACAAGCCATCTTGAGAAGCACGTTGTCGCTTCACTTGCGCCGATCGTGAAATTTGTTTTCTTGCGAATTTGGGGGGGGGGGGGGGGACTCTTCTTTAACGGAGAATTCCGCTGGACGTCCGATGTCAATCTTATGAACTACGTAGATACCTCTCACTTCACGCTATTCTTCTACCGGTAATAATTAACGCTGTCCAGACACCGCAAACACAGTTCAAGCTTTCCCATCGTATACGCATGATTGACGAGCGGTAAACAAAATCAGGTGCCTTGTGGCGCGCGCACTATTTTAATGCTCAGGAGGGCGTGAAATGAGGTAGCCTGTACACTGATTATCGGATACACTCTGCATCAACGCTCCTCCGTAATGAAACGGCCTTGTCATTCACCGAAGCCTGATGTGAAATTGGTTAACAAGTATAGAACAAAAAAAAAAGTTTCATTTTCGCCCTCTCGTATCGCGCCTGTTTGTTCGGCGATCAGCTCGCGTTAAAACTGAGCCCTCCGTCGGGAACACACAAGCGCTTAGTTGAGGCTCTGGCCTGCAGCGGTAATGTTTTCTCGACTGATATTTTTAGACGGCGCAGACAGGCGTTGAACGTATACGGGCGGCTACGCCAGCATTTCAGGAAATACTTGATAGAATCGGACACCGCACCGCTATAGAATGTCCTCGCCGCCGAAGCCTCGAACAATAACACGAAGCGGAGGTGTCACGTGAACTGCTGGCGTGGATAAAAAGAACACGAGCTGCACGCGACTTACATTTCAGCCACACTACCTCTACCGAGGGATGTGCCACCGCGGGGTATAGTGTTGCTGGCGCGCCCGGCCAGGATTCAGGCCTATAAAGAGAGACCTTACACTTGCCTGATAACGTAAAGGACTCCCTATCGACGAGCAAACTTGTGTACTCTGCCGCACCCTTACAGTATGTTACAAGAAAGAAAGAGACATTAGAGCGGAACGCCTATAGGAACTACAGTGTAAAGTGAACGCCGTTGCACCTGAATGACCTGTACTAAGGATTTTCTCGTGTCTGACTCTGTATACTGCGAGCAGATGCATAGCCAGAAAATCGAGTCGGTGCGGGGGTCAACCGCTTTGTATGTATGTCGTTCGTGTGTTTGTATGTCGGAACGTATGAATACATATGCAGAACTTAAAAATATTAGGGGGAAGAAGGACTGAAACCCCCACCAATCTCATCATAATCACTGTTTCTAACCCTTAACGGCCCTATACAGGCCATTACACCTACGTCAGTGACTGCGGGAGTTACGACGAACGACCTTTACCATGAAGCGGCGTGTAACTCGAAGTGTTTCGCAGGTTTCGAGCAGTTCGTCACATAAAGGTCACTCTACAATATTCAATCATGAGCCAAACTGGCGCACAAGGCAGCGAACATGCGTGCAAAGGCAAGCGAACAAACATATAAAGAAACAAAAAAGGAACACATAAAATGGGGGAAAGTGACGTAATTGCTTCAATCCCGACATACCTACCACGTTTCCTTCTCTGCAGCAGCCCTACAGCAACAATATACATTCCGCGCGCAGCTGCAGTCGTTGATGTATGTGCGCGGACATCTCAAGGGAGAAACAGCAGTATACAGAGGCCCATAGCCTTTCAATCAGAGGACAAATTACGGCTCATTGGCCCCGAGCGACGGCTCGGGTATAACCGGGCTAAATGTGCGGTGCCCCTGATCGGCTCCAGCCAGCCAGCGCATATACGCGACGCGCAGAAAATGCCTCGAGTTCCAGTCGCTGCTCCAGCGAAGGGGCGACTGTGGCGATACGCGACGCACGCACGAAGAAATGCGATACCAGCGTACAACAAAAGGCCACCCACTTCCTGAGCGGTCCAGGCATTGCTACCGATGCACTGCTGCATCAAGGCTTCTCGCCGTCACGCCCCGTCTTTGATCGGTAATTGTTGCTGTCGCTGTAGGCAGCTATTAGGGCGTCACTGGAAACCAGTTGGTTATGCGCGCGTTGTCTCCGAGGTCGCGCAGTGATTATTAGACTCGCCGATGTCGTGATTAGCCTTCGTTGTCGGAAACAATCGAGAAAACCGACAAGCCGCGCACGCCCGTTCGGTTTGATCGGTCTTACAGTCCGATCTCGCGTTCTTTTTGTTATAGAGGGACTTTCACACAATTGGTCGAGAATTTCTGGCTGTATACCTGTTAGTGCCCCGCCGTGGTGGTCTAGTGGCTAAGGTACTCGGCTGCTGACCCGCAGGTCGCGGGTTCGATTCCCGGCTGCGGCGGCTGCATTTCCGATGGAGGCGGAAATGTTGTAGGCCCGTGTACTCAGATTTGGGTGCACGTTAAAGAACCCCAGGTGGTCAAAATTTCCGGAGCCCTCCACTACGGCGTCTCTCATAATCAAATGGTGGTTTTGGGACGTTAAACCCCACAAATCAAATCAATGTATACCTGTTAGCGGCTGTTTTCGACGTATATTTCAGGCGGTTCCTTTGTTTATCAGGCCGTTTGCGCCTGCTTTAGCAACGTTGGGACTATATACCCTCAATGTCTCAGCCTTCGTGACTGCGTGCGTGCTCACGGCTTACAGCAGTGTTATCGCACTGACAGGTGCGCCCTTCAAAGCAATCAGTGCTGTGTCAAAGGTTTGGCACACGTGCTTGACGACTTTCTGCGGTGTTTTCGAACGATAGCTCGGGGGCTCCTGAGGGAACTCCGCAGATGCGGTACGAAAATTGCCGAGATTTCGCTTTGACCGATCACACGGCTCAGCTTTCTTCAGCAGTTTGCCTTGTACCATGCACCTTGCCAACAAAGGCTACCTTGGCACTGCCATTATGCCCTCTGTGCTTTGTTAATATACATAAACTTCCCAAAAACCTACTGTCGTAGTTGATACGTCAACCTTTGTACTTACCGCAACAGTTCAGAAAATATAGGTGATCATGCTATCAATTTAAAGGTCTATACGTGCGAAATTCGTTTACGAGGTAACCAGACGCTCCTCGGGAAATATTGTGATTTTGATCGACATTAATAAATTTATGACAGGGTGAATAACACGTAAGGTGCAGGTGTCAACCTCTGAGGTTGTTAATATTTTCTTGGCTCAGAGACCGCGACAAGATTTTTTTTTCTCCGCAAATTTTTCGGCGTAGTACCTTGTTCTTCGAGATCATGGATGACGTTCGTGACTTGCTGCTTTACTCTGAGATATAATAACAATAATGCAACGGTTTCTCTTCACCCGTTCTTTCTTTTGTGCTACGATTTCTTCTTTTTTATTACCTTTTTTTACTCCCAGGAAATTTCGCCGAAACAAATAAACAATTGGATTTTGTGGGATACCAAAATTTTCAATTAAAACCTATTCATGCATCTCTAAAGAATCACGTAGTCCAATAAACGACATTGCTATAGCTCAGAATAGCAGTAACGTTTAACAAAAACAGAGAATGCTGTGTAAGAGTTAGCTGAGTACTGTAGGTTTTGAATGTATAAAGTGATAATCTGACTTGTTGTAGCAAGTTGCAGTGAGGAACGCCGAATTGTTTTTGTCACTTTTGATAACACGCGCTTATATCTGCGCAAACGATCTCATTTTCTTTCCTTCTTTTTATTGTACTTTGCCTAAATCGCAATGCAGCCGCAGTTATTTCAATCAAAATCTTTACTTCGAGCCCAGCAACGCAACGTCAAAGCCGTTCATTCGCCTTGGCAGACCTCAGAAAAATGTGACGTATAGTGAAAATATTCGATTGGTTACGATGTTTGTCTCAGCTTTTCCCATCTATACTTTCTAAAACGCGCTACGACGATGTGCACGATGTCAAGGACAACTTCTGACCGAAGTTATCTTGGCTATAGAGACGTCATAGCTAGCTGCCGTGTTTGCTGCCAAATTATGAGCACTGACTATATTTTGGCCAACTCTTTCCCAACATGGGTTCGTGCTGGCTACTTGGTGTGACAACAACACTGCTTTCATTCAATATCAACCTGGTGACTGAGATTTCTGGCATTTTTTAAGATATTTTTGTTTTTCATTTTGTATGTCCAGAGCTTCTTCGCTCAGCTGTAGTAGCCGTCTCTGACGCTAGAAACCCGTGCGCGTCACGCCCACAGAACCTCACTGCCCTTTTTCCTATTATGACTTCCGCGCTCCCCAAAAAAGAGTTACCGAAAAACCCTCATTCCCAAAAGAAGTTCGCCTCCGTGCACTGTCACGCCACGTACTTGACGACTACAGGATCGGTTGGCGCATTCCGCTGACGTAAGACCAATCGGTGCTATTGAACCACTACTCGCTTTATAGGATTAGTGCCCCGCCGACAAGACCGATTAAATTACGCAGACGTGGTACTAGAGGCACAGCGGCAGTTGGGGTAAGTCAGCAAATTACGTTACAGGGCGACGTCAAGATGAGAAAACGAAGAAACAATGAATGTGTGCTGTTTCTTGGGCGAGTTGGAAAGGCATTCGGAAATGGGTAGCGCTTGTGAACACGGACTACAGGAAGGCACCCAGAGAGTCAACTTGAAGCGCTTTCATAGCTACTAACTTTTACTGAAAATCCACCCAAAAAGCGATGTAGATATTGTCACAACGTGGAAAGAACGAGATACAGGACTTGTTTTGCGACGTGAATAGACGAGACTGTAATAGCCTTGTCGATTACAGCCAGAAGATGCTGCTCGTTGTCCTCTGTCGTATGCGGCCGGCTATTAATCGTGACAATATTTATGGAGGATTTTCAATAAAAATAAGCTGCTAAATGTGCTACCGTCTGTGTGTTCGCGTGCCTTCCTCTAGTCTGTCTTCGCGAACGGGCTACCCTCTTCAAGATAAGGAAGGCCGAGGAGCGAAGACAAAAGGTATGTACACAGACTGGGAAAACCAAGTATAAGTAAAAAGCAGAACAAAAGAGGGGGTGACTGTACTAGCGGAGCGACGATCACCCTCTGCTCCCTCTGTTCCCGGATTTTCCTGGCGAGCGTGACGAAGGCCTCCTGGATGTTGACGTTCTGCTTGCAGCTGCACTCGAAGAACGGGATCTCGAAGCTCTCCGCCATCTGCAGTGGTGAAATTATAGATAATATTTAATGACGCAAAGGACGGAACAGAAGTCGGCCTGGAGAGAGTGCCCGCATACAGCTCTTTAACCAGGAGAAAGGAATTGGAAGATAGAGAGAGAGGTTGAAGCAGGTTACGGAGCTATCCTACAGCGAGTTACTACACACTTATTATTCTATGCTCATGTGATCTGGCAGCGACTCCTCTGCTCTGCGCACGAGGCGCAGGAGTCCTCACATATATCCTAATGAGTCAGAGGACGAAGAAGGTGAGGTGGTACAGCATAGAGGGAAAGGCATTGCCTTAATATGTATCGCATCAGCGTTACTTTGCGCATAACTGTAATCATGAGAGACAGTCGCGAGCATATCGCATGCAGTGTTAAGAATACAAGAGGGTATTTTATAGTTCTGCAATCACTCAAGCATAGAAATCATGGTCGTCGTACTTGGTTTTGAACGTTACTCTCGAGGTATTTATTACGCTTCATTATCATTAAAGTTCTTTTCACAGTTCTGAAGCAATCACATTTTAATATTTTTCCGGACGCACGATGACAATAGATATCCAAGTGATTCATCATTGCGAACCGTTGCATTCATACAGCGATATATTCGCCGAAAGCGGTCAGTTTGCAAATGCGCAAGCAATACTTTTTTTTTTGGCCTGGGTGAGATGTCGTTTGACAAATTCATCCATGCGCATTAATTTCAAGTTGTCCGCATGTCACTACACTTGCAGCTGCGCTGTACCTACAGTGATTTGCTTACACAAAAGTCTATTGGGTGGCAAGACAGAAAGGCTGCAGAGTGCCCGCGCATACCCTCACTCTTAAAAGGATATCTTTATTCCTACGAAATGCATTCCTTTGTCCGCCTTGGTGGAACAGTGGCTTCGGTGCTCGGCTGCTGACACAAAGGTCGTGGGTTCTATACAAACTGTGGCGGTCGCATTTTCGATGGAAGACTGTGTACTTTGCAGTGTCAGTGCACCTTAAACAAAACCAGATGGTCGAAATTTCGAGAGGCCTCCAGTATACGGCGTCTCTATAGCAATCATATCGGGGTTTCGGGACGTAAAATTCTAGGTATTATTATTGCATTATTCGTTCGACGTATGTATACACAGCATCCGTCGTCCATTTCACCACATTGCACAAACTCGTCCTATGCACTGATATAGATTTACAGGCACACGTTAAGTAAGCTCAACTGTTTTAAAATACGTGGTGTACAAATAGCGCCGTCTTCTAGTTACAGGAAACGTCTGTGCTGAGACCCGAGCCAATGCCGCGCATGGACCGAACGTGTTTGCACTGTATACGAATTGTAACCTCGAAACCTTTGGCGCGCTTGAACCGGCCAAATCAGGGTCACTTTTAAAGGATATTGTGCACTGACGTTTCTCAGCGGAATCGACGTGTGTTTTTTACCGAGGAATAATGTTTTTCAATCCAATCAACAGGTCCCCCCACCCCCCCAAATGTTCCTGGACGGGTCTGGCACGTATACATATATATACAACAAAACGCCAGCCCTTTTGCGCAGTTCATTCCTTCTTAAAATATGAGGCCAACTTCTGAAAAAAATTTTTAAGCAATGATAAGTAGATATTATTAGTCTACAATATAAAGCACATCTTTTTAGGCTTATGTGAGCATTATGAAGCAAGTTCCATTTTTTGTTTATTTTTCATAATTAAAGTTTCATTAAATGTGGACCTTACGCCAACAATTCCAACTCAAGTTCCACTCATAAAAATTGCATTTTGTAGATATATTACGAATGCGCTGACCCATGCAATGAACCAATACAAATTAGGTGTGATGAATATGAAGGACATAGTGATTAAATAACAAAAAAAGTATGCACTAGCTTTAAGGGTACCTTAGTATAACAGCCAGCCATATTAAATCTTGCGGTGAGATTTTGCTTATTGAGGTTAATTGCACGCTTACTAAGGAAGTGTGCCAAGTTCTTATGAAAAATGTTCACTAGCAAAAGTCATGACAGTTTGCGGACAGAAAAGTGCCAGAAATATAGGTTCTCAGAAAATCAACAAAATAGATTTCAAACATTCGCAGCGCTTACACCAGACGATCAGGAGCGCTGAAATTCTCAATATTTGCAGCCAGTTCCATCGCGAACCTTACTAATGTGTGCCTTTGGACGAGTGACACGTTGTTTTTGTTTTCTAGCTTCGTTTTGCAGCATCATGTGCCTCGACGGGACGCTTTCGCGCTGCGGTGTTGATCATTTCTGAGGCAAGGTTTTGCTGTGTAGAGGACAGGCTCGATTCGAATTGCCTTAAAAATATCAGACTTGCTTCAGCTGTCATTACTGAAATGACTCACAGCGTCAACCAACGCAAATTTGATGGTTTACAGGCTCACATACATGTACGAAGTTACTCGTTCACCTGGTGAGAAGTTTATGGCATTTACGATTAAAAATGACGTGTTGACAACGCATTTAGAGCATTCTTACATGTTCGCACTTGATATTATTGCTAAATAACCAACGAAATACTACATATCAAGCTAATTTTATGGTACTGACAAAACTGGCACTTTCAGTTTTGGTTCCGTAGGCAATGGGTGGTCTAACATTTCTGCTTCTATTAAAAAAAACTGCGTAGACAAGAACTTTCTACCTCAAAATGATAGGCAGTAAATTGGTGCATTCAACATTACCAAAAAGTGAAAAAGGTCATATTGAAAAAAAAAGTTTTTTTTTTCACTTGACCTCGTACCTTAAAAAGGGTTATACACCTTCAACCTTCATACCTATAAACCTTCATACCTTAAACTAGGTTACCCAACTAACGTATGCTACCGTCCCTTTATCTGCATTTTATCGCGTATATTGGGACCTACATTACAATTATCTAAATATGCTGCAAATGCTGCAGTCTGAAGTCGTACCACTTTTTTGTCTATATCTTTAGGCTCCTCGGCTCGAAGCGTCCCAGAAAAAAAAGGAAGGACGAAAGGAAAAATTAATGACAAAGATAAGAAGAGAACACTCGCGACAAGTCGAAAACAAGGCTAAAGAATGACACCAATCGATGATGCCTTGCAGTATTACGTCTGTACGTACTTGAGAGTGCAACAGGAAAGGAAAGACCAAGGACCTTGATCCTTTTCTCTTTTTAGATTCCCATCACGTAGCTCAAAATAGAGGGTCGTCTCGAAGTACAGCGATACACTGAGCTCTTTTACGCTCTCTCACTCTTTCATTGTTGCATCCTATCCGTAGACCTTCGTGACCCAAACGTTCCGAGGTGACCCTGGTTATCGCCGGCCGCGCGTGCTTGCAGCCCGTATCAGCGAAACTTCACGGAATGCCGGTCGCGTGCGCCGAGCACGTAAAAAGCGCGGCAAACACACGTGGGCGCGTCACATTTTCCCGAATGGGCCATATCGGCCACGGTATCGCGTTGCCCTCACGCGATTGATGTCAACGCGTGTTTTGGCTTCCACGGAGTCTGTTTTGTACACAGTCATGGTTTCGAAATGAAGTGGCCGCTCCGGATCGATCCGCGTCGGCCGGTGTCAACGACTCCGCCAACGCATGGGTTTCGTAAGTGCCGCGTCCCTGCGTACGTTACAACGTGCGGTGCTCATACGTGGGCGGCACGAAGCGGTTGCGTTAGTGTCCCTCAGGATAGCCAACTTTCGGGGGGTTCGTCGAACGCGACCGACGCTGTGCGCACTATGGGGCAAAGATCGACAGCTATTGTTGCTAATTAAGTGTTAAATATATATATGCTAAGTCTTTTAGACAGGTATAGATACTCGCATACCAGTGGAGCGCAAGTTCGCAAGGTGAAGGAAGGTTTATAAAAACGAAATTGCCACCCAGTCGATCGCTTGCAGAACGAAACTACAACGAAAACCTATAAGGATAGTATACAGAAAATAAAGATATGTAGTTGAATGAAAAACTTCACCATATTGTCGCGAGAGCAAGGTTTCCAGCTCCAGTATCTTCTCAGGAAATTTGTGCAAAACCAACTCCTCTGCTTCTTTTTTAAGCCTTTCTTTGTACTCTTCTACCTTTGGGTTTATTTCTCTGGCCATTACAGAGCTTCGGCTTTTGACTTTAATGGAATGTGGGATAAATCGTGTTTTCCAGCCTGGGACAGGCGCCTACCCGCTGCATTTACGGCTTACCAACGGAGCAGTCAAGGTCGCCCCGTTCGGGATTAGAAGGGGAAAGCTTACTCGGAAAAGCGTCTAGCAATAGGCAGGTCCGGCGCCACCGTCTGAGTCTAAGCCATTGTTAACAGGCACGCGTGTCATTGAGAATGACATGGGGACGCGACCACTTAGCCTGACCTAGACATAGTGGCGGCCGGTAAACGACCATATTCCCCCGCGCTCTTGTTAGGATGTCGGGGCGCCTCGCTGTCGCATGTACACCTGGTAAGCAATGGTGTACCCATCGCTCTTAAGGACGTTTCTAGAAAGCCACAGTTAATGAAAGAACTTACGGGGCCCGAGCGTGGGAACGGCCGCCGACGATAGTCGGCCGAAGGAGGCAGCTCGGCCTGGCATGGGAGAGAGTGTCACGTGCGGAGGAGCTTTCCCTTTGCGTGTTTCATTTTGGTAAGGAGGTTTTTACAAATGTAGTGCCTTTTATGAAAGTGTTTCTGTGATTGGTTGTGATGCTGCGAGTCCCAACATGTGATTGGTTTTTGTGAAGACTCTTTGTTCGACCAAGGGTTAAAAAGAGGATGTTTGAACTTGAAAGGAGAGCGGAGTCGGGGTCAACAGCGGATCTCCCCACCGGAGACCAGCTATGCAGGCCGAGGGGTATGCCACCATTTTCTATGTTTTGTCTTTGTGACCCAGTGCATTTTGTGAATTGAAGTTGTGTTAGCTAAATAAACCCCCAATGAGTGCTCCCCGAAATCATCGTGTTGACGTCTCTTCGATTGCCTCCGCGGAGTTTCACCCCCACTTATTCGTCTCCCTGGTCGTCCGATGCGCCTAACTTGAACAACCCCGACGTTTCGCTACAATATCTCGAGATTTGAACTCGGGACCATTGGCGTCAGTCAGTAGGGGTTTGAAAAAGGGCCACTTAATTTTATGGTATTGCACGCTACTGTTAATGCAAAAACGCTATTGGGGTGTCACCAAACTTGTTTTGATTATGCGTTCGTTCTGAAGTATGAAACTACCGATAAAAATAGGTTTCTCATTTCTTTTTATTCCAGAAAATGTATGCCAGTCATAGGTTAGGCTTCTATTTATTTTTGCCGTGAGCTTAAATATGATGCATATCACAGACATATCAGCAAATTGTTTTCTCCTCCTCTATAACTTTCTTCCCCCCTCTCCCCTTCTCCTGTGCAGGGTAGCCTACCGGGGCTTAGCCCTGGTTAACCTCCCTGCCTTTCTCCTTATGTTCTCTCTCTTTCTTGTTCATATTTGCCAAATATAAACGGTTTATGATAACTTGGTCATCGATTATGAACTTTTGCATGGAGTGGATACGACAGCGAGATATACGAATGTACGGCGGACATTCAGTTTGTATAGTGACTGAATTGCGACTTATAGAAGAGTTGCAACCTCCCGGTGAACCTCCCGGGCAGACGTCCTCCTCACCTTTTCTCCCCGGTCCTTCTCTACTTGGCGCGCATGCGTCGCGTCACACTTGTTTCCCACGAGGACTTTGACCACTTCGGGTGACGCGTTCTGAGAAAAAGGAGGATAGGAACAACGAATGTAGTATATTAAACGAGGAAACACGGTACAAATACCATACTGCCCTGCCACTCTATACACTGTATATACCCATACTGTTCATATACACCGTACAATACACCATATAACCCTTATCTCATTTAACTATAGCAAAAGGACGAACAAACGCTTCGTCCACTTCAAAGTGATGTTTACTGCTTCAGTAAGGATGCCACAGAGCACGTAACGTAGGCGAACTGCCAACCTAATACATCATTTCGATAGATTACAAGGTACACCATCGTTTCGGATCACTGTATGTGCGGTTCACACGAGCTAAGACTGCCATATGTGGCTGGAGTTGCGGTACAGCAACGGTGCATACAATATAGTTTGACGGTCCAATGAAGCATACAGTTATCACCTTGCCGCTAACATTGTCAGCAGATTGACTCGACTAATGCAGTGTTTCTTAGCGATGGAAAAGTGTACAAGGCGTAAAAGTAAACATAAATGTGTATGAATTTGTTTGCACGCCAGAATGACGGAAACAATGCTTCAAAGACAAGACAACTTGCGTAAGAAACAGTCGTCCTACCATTTTTCGTACTTTCGAAGCAACGGTCCCGGCTTTCTTATGCGCAGGATTTCATTTTGAAGTTGCCGTTGGCCGCCTTTGATGAGTAGTATGCTCTAAGCGTTAAAGCAACACTGGGGCCTTTGGGTGTATGTCTTTATTTGCCCAATATGACCATTAATGATGATATATGTATATATATTTATTGTAGCATTATTCACTAATCACACACACATTCCCACAGTTTTTCTGGGGCCCATCTTCAGAGAAGTGGGGAGGCTCCGAATGTTTTCATCATTTTTCTTTAAGCTTTTTTTTCACCAACATCTTGGGGATCGAATATTTTTTGTTCCCCAACACCAACGGACTCCCTCCTCCTTCACCCTTGCTGTTGCGCCATCAGAGACTGCTGCGGAACTTCTGACGTCACCATTTTGTTCTCTTACTTCCATGGTGTGACGCAAGGCCGGCTGACCGAACAACCTTTTCTGCATGCTCACCCTTGGTTCCTTTTGCCGGTGCCGCGAGCCCAAAGAAATGCCGCGTCCAAGCGGCTTTCGAGTGAAGGCGCCTTCCATAAGCATACCGCGCGCCCTGGTGGGCCTCCCCCGCTATACATTCGAGGGGGCGGTATAAGAGTTTGTCAAGCAAATCCCGGGCTGAATGCGACTATAAGTCCCAGGCACGAGCCGGAATGCGGATCGACCGTCCTAATGCTAAGAGGATTGCCAGGCCGCCGGGCGGCGGTGCATATCAGAGGAAGGCTGCTCGCGCGTCGCGACAAGAAAGGAAGCGCAGCGGAAGCTCAACAGCAATCAGTCCCGGCGCCTTCAGAGGGTCGCGGTCGTTCTGGGAGGCGCACCTTCGGGATTGCGTCTTCGTGAAGACATTCTTGCCGTGATCTGTCGCAATTACTACGCTAAAGAAAGGCACCGAACTGGGCTGGTTGATACATCATCAAACTGGAAACAGCGCTGTAGACATGGGAGGGTAATAGAAGGACAGCCTTTGTAAAAGTTCTAGTATGTTTGTGCATCGCATTTTTGAGGTGATCTGTAGCAACACAAATGAAGGGAACACGACACCGCCAGTGGACTATTTAGGACGTGGAACGTCACTTTCCAATAAAACACAGCCTTTGAATTAAGATAGTAAGGGATTTGAGCGCATGACATTGATGTCGTAAGGCCTCTGTACGTGCCTTTTATATTTATGGCGAACACGGACGGTGAGGCTCGTGGCGTCTTCTTCGTGGAGGGCCTTGTGAAATTAGTTTTTTATGCATATCTATGCAAATACTTGAACACGGTGATAGAAATATATAAATATTTAAAAAAAACGATGGAATCAGACAACGCGACCGCCCAGTTATGCGTACGTTGGTGCCGTCTTATGAACCGCGCCATTTTTTTAAAATTTGCTGTGCCCTCTTGGAGACAATTAACAAGTTATTTTCCATTGCGTTAGGTGAGACTTTAATTTGAACAGCGTTTTTGTTTAGCAAGTACTCCACGAAAACTGGAAACAAAATCTGGGTGTGTTGGTGCGGAAGTACTGCAATAGCAACATTGTGTAGGACCGACACACCATGATTTACTATATATACAGAACAGCGAGAAAACAAACACAAACAAAAAACGCCACTCGAGCCGACAATTATTAGTGCACCCATAATATCTATCTGTACAAACATTGGCTATAGGACAGAGTTTCCGACTTACCTCTTCGATATTCCTGAACCAGTAGGAAAGGTGGTTAAATGAATCCATGTTTGTGACGTCGTATATGATTAAGATGCCCTGAAAAAAGCAAACAATAACAGAAAGACACAGTAACTATCATCGACTAAACTAGCGGTCGTATATAGATAACAGCCGCTTTCATAAGTAGCCGCTTTTTGATAAAAATAAATCAACGATAAGCATTGGGATGTAGGGACACACAATCAATTGCCAAATTATACTCAATCGCTCAAGGTATGCCAGATTGAAGGTTCTCGAGGCGTAATTATTAGCGAGTTGTAACATTAGTAGACGCAAACGCGTCTAAGCGTACTCAGATGTTTATATAATCAACGCATGTGCACACGTGCTTACAAAATGAGCTATGCACGCGCAAGTTCTCTAGCATGTGCTGAACAGATTGCTTCAGCCACAGGTCTCACGTCCATGATTTCAAAAGCAACTTCGGGCAAGCTATGAGACTCGATTGCCAGTTACATTTCTGAAGAAGCGCATTGCCATTGAGAGGCAAAATACACAACAAGCAGCCGCTATCGCAACCACGTACATTTGTGACTTTCATGGAATCGTTTAAGGATTAGTTCAAGCATGAAGGCATTAGTCCAAAAAACTGCAGGTCCAGAAATTGACAGGAAATGAAAGCATGCGTCTCCATGACTCCCGAAAAACATTCCAGCTTATTTTCCGTAGCAGGCGAAAACAACTGGGAATTCGTCTCACCGGTTCGTGCAATGTTTTTAGCGCGATAGAGTTAAAGAGCCGAGGTCGTTGTCTGTGTGAGCGAAAAATCATCTTGTGCGTGAGCGAAAAATCGAGAAAGATGAAAAAAAAAACCACAGCATATCCACGGAGTGAATGATGATGAGAGGGCCGGGCGAAGCGTCCGTCAGCCCGTCCGTGCTTCCGTCCGTCCACGCGACCATCCATCCATCTGTATGTCTGTCTGTCTGTTCGTGCGTCCATCCGTCAGTACGTCCGCGCGTCTATCCATCCGCCTGTCCGTCTGCTAGTCTGTTTGTCCGTCCATGTGTCCATCTAGTGAACACTCCTAGTACCACCATCTCCCATCTCGCATCCCCTGTGACACGTATACGACTACAGGCATACAAGGAATGAACAGAACCACGCCTTGAGAAGCTTCACCCCTAATAATATTAAAAAAAATAAAAAATTCTTCGTCCGTGTAGGAATCAAACGTTGGTCTTAGGAATCAAACGTTGGTAGGAATCAAACGTTGGACAAGCGGGTGTTCTAGCGCACATCCACGTGTTTGCTTGGGAATGCAGCGATAATAACTTCCTCTGCTTGGGAATGCAGTGAAAGTAACTTTCATATACATTACAAACACACGAGTCCTGTATATATGGTTCGCAATACAACATAAAATATTGCAGTATTATTGCGCGGTACAAGCGTACACTATTATCGGGCCTCAGAATATCTGATTATCATGATGATTTAAAGCCAGTCACCCACTACAAAAGGCACATACATTACTGCACGTAGTCTCTTAAGGCCACGCATTGGGTGCATGACGGATTCGAAAAGATACCATGCACTAAGTGTTTGAACTACGATCTAGAGACATGATATCGCTATCGCATTCAATTCTTAAAGGCGATGCCTAAATATGCCCCTCTTTTTTTTTTTGCACTCCTCTTAAAAAGATGCAGTGTAAAGGCATCCCAAACACTTCCACACACTTCTAAGTGGATGCACTATCTATACAAATGACACTGCATGGTTAGATGATTATACGCAGAATGAGTTATTTAGGCTCCCAAGTTCAGGAGCAACGCTACAAAGAAAACAAGTTGAGTACAGGGGTGGCACGTTGCAAGCCAGTAGCTCGGAAAACAAGGCAGGCGGCTCTCGAATGCGCGCAGTACACAGGCAAAGCGCGCGCGTACGCGTATTCTTTTTTGCACGTCATCAAAGAAAGCGACCAACCCTGAATCGGACAGGTGAAAAAGCTTATTCAGCCGGGGCAATTACGGACGCGTTTACACAGCATATGTACAGTGGGCACGCCTTGTTGTATACCGTTCTTATAAAGGCGGCTCTTGTATGTTCCAGTGCACACACGGGCGCGCTACCCGCAATGTAGCCGCTTCCGTGCTCACCGAAGCGTTCCATCTTCCGGGTCCATCACAGCAGCAAGCATTTAGCACCGGTTTTAAGCGCTGCAACCATCATCGTGTGTCTACCTAACGGTGCGTAACAGGACGGGGAGGTGATCGAGGCACAGCGCCTTCGGCAACTTATACTTGCTCCGAGACCCACAACGCGTTACACGGTTAGCGCCGCACATGGGAACTGTAAACGTGCGAAGCGCTGAAAGCATCTTCTCCTTAGAAAACAAAGGGCTTGCTTGTATACATGCTGGCTGTGCTCACAGACGCGCCGCCACTGTATGGTCGGGAACAAATTGGACGTGAGACGTTCTCGCTTCTTGCGATATGGTTAGCACGCTATATTTGTACTTATAGAAGCGGTTCGGATATAGCCGGAAGTTTTTATCTGACACTGTCGTGCGAGTAGCCTCGCTCGGCGGGGTCCGACGATGAGCGATGAGTCCACGCTTACAACGAGTTTATGAGCAGGGCTTGTATATTTGCTGTGACATCAACTTGACTCATGTCACGTCTTTTGCGTCAACGCGTAGTTATTGATCCCCTATAGTAACGATTAGGTACTAATAATGCAACAAATGAACGAATAATATATGTAATATTGATTAATATCACCCCTATTGAATCAAATTCAAGACGGATGCAAAGCTCGCCAATTTTCACGCTGCCAAGCGGTCACCTCCTCAGTCCCGCCCCGTCGGATCACGTGGCCACAGGAAATGGTGACGCGACCTTTAGTTGACATTACGCCTGCTCGGCGCGCACCTATATTGTCGTTGCTGCTATCATCAGCGTTCACAAGCGACGATGAAAACACTGAGGAACATTGAACCACGGCGATTGGCGGCGTCTTCGATCATTCCAGCGACTATATATATATATATATATATATATATATATATATATATATATATATCGGCACAGCGGAAGGTCGAAATGGCGGACAAGACGGTGATGTTACAGTGTACTTCTAGTACGCTCTAGTGATGTCGTGATCTTTTACGTCAGCGTCGCAGACCGTGAAGACGCGTTCGTTGGTTTATGACAACTTAGAGACCAAACTGCGTCGCAGTTTTATCACCGTGTGACAGCTTCGGAGCACGGCTACATGACGCCGCCTGCATCGCTAGAATGACCGAATGTCGAATAATTTTTGGTTCGATCTGAGTCTTCTGAGCAGCGATTCGGAAATCGACGCCGGGCTGGAGACGCACGCCTGGGCTACGCTGGCTGGCAAGACATACGAACGCTGCGTGCGTGTTACTTGTTCGCGATGACCGTAGCTCCAAACAAACACATTTCGCGCTCCCGGAACCACGACAAATCACTCGAAGCGCCACGACGAAAGCACTAGATTCACGCGAACGCACTGCACAAAGCAAGCGAAACAAAGCAACTGAAACCGTTGCTAGGCAGCCAGGCTTCGCCGCGATGTAGGCACCGCGGTGACGGCTCTAAAATTGTCGACGTCATCGCTGCTCGCTCATCGTCACTATGCCTTAGGAGCTTGCTGAACACGTCAACATACTGTCGAAATTAAATAACTTCTACGTAACGGACGCGATTCATACTTTGGTACAGAAACTCGTGTGTACCAAGCAATCTATTGAAAGCCACATCTCGAGTTTGAAATTTGCTGTGACTGCTCCTTTAAACGGTGGATGCTCATTTGCATGAGCCTGTGTTTTTAGGGGCGAAGCTCCTTGTGGCGTGGCTTGTGCATCCCTCGTAGTACGTAACCACCAGCGGCACATACCCGAAATAGCGTTCCTTACGATTTTGAACTCCAAGGTAGTTCCGGTGAGAGATTTCTTCAGTGCGTTGTTGAACAATAAAAGATAGCGCTCAATGCACATGTTAATGGCTGCTAAGGGGGAATGAGAGACAGGAGCATTCGGCCTTTAGGTAACGCGCACGCGGCGATCCTTATTAGCAGCTATTGGCATTTACATTGAGCACGATCTGACAAGAAAGGGTTGCTACGTTATACTCACTGGGTGTAACCTCCTTGGTTTTAGAAAGGTTTAGCGAGCGTTGGGCCGCATAGCCATGAATACAGTGAACTAGTATATACCATGAACTCGAGGTGGTTAAAGGTGGGAAGTAAACCTGAAGCACAAGCCGTAAGAAAGCGTGCATGTGCCACCTCTCGTTCAGTCCTTGAAATGTCCGCTGGATGGCGGTGCTTCTATATGAGGAATATATGATGAAAAGATGCGAGATGGTGGTACTTGGAGTGTTGAATAGATAGACGAACGGACACACAGACAGATGCATGGATGGATGCATGAACGGACGCAGGCGCAGATGCATGGACGAACGTAGGGACGGACGCACGAACAGACGCACGCACGGACGGGCGGATGGACGCATGGACGGTTACACAGACGTACGCAGGAACGGACGGAAGCAAGAACGAATGGACGGACGAATGCTTTGCCCCACTCCCCATTATTCACTCCGTGGATATGCTGCCATTTTTTTTTTTGCACCCGCACGTGTTCGTGAGAAGATTACACAAAGCTGTAATGTAGAGACCTGTGTACGCGAGGTGGTCAGCCTTAATTTACCTAGGGAAAAATTATGGACCATTTGCCCGAAGAGAACCCTGATGCACTGCGAAGCAGCAGCGGGCGCACGGCGTCGACCCGGCACAGCTTAGATGCTTCACATCTAAGCTGTGCGGGTGCATTTTTTACCTCAGAGCATTCGCTGCGGCACATAGGACATTCTTCCTTACAAACAACACCGAGACGAGGCAAAAAAAAAAATTATATGCATGGTAATGGACGGCGCAGTCTTTTTCACGAAGGGCATATATGTGGCTGAAGAAAATCAAGCCGCCCAATGCGCCGAAAAAGGGTTTATATATAATGAATCGCAGCCGGACTCCGTGGGTTGCTGATGCCGCAGCGCGTAAACCAAGGGCGTAGCCAGGGGGTGGCACACTGGCCCGTGCCCCCCCCCCCCTAATTTGTTTTCATTGTGGCATAGAGAGCGGAAAATGACCATTTTAAGGGTACCCTCCTCGAAATATTTGAGGTCCCCCCCCCCCCCTCGGAAAGATGTTTGGATACGGCCCTGGCGTGAATCGAATGCAGAACAGTTTTTCGTCATCTTCTTCGCTCCATTTCCAACAGTTCGCAAGAATTGCGCGAGCGTTCTACATGTTCGTAGCCCAAAACGAGGGGCTGCACAGTGACAATCCGGGCCAGCAGTGCAGCATGCAGAGGTGTCGGTTTTCCCGTTGAGTGAAACACGCGGAAGCACACCGGCCGATCACTGAAGCGCTATTG